AAAAAATTTTCATCTCTCTTGGGTTAGAAGCTACTGATATTTTACGAAAAATAAATAAATCGCTTATATCTCTCGAACCATCCAGTAAAAGAGGCCCGAACTTGGTGAGTGATCAGCATTCGGTAAGAGCTATGATTACACAAAATTAGAATTCCCTAGCTATCATGGTTCTTAAGTTACAGGGGTGTCGCTATCTTTGCGGAGTACTGTAGTATTTTATTCAATTGGTACGTCGAAAATTTTGTCATTTACCGGCTTCAGATGTTTGGACAACAACTTGATTAGAAAACGTTGATGGAATGACACCAGTGTATCCACGAACACGAAATTCATATTTTGTAAATGGGATCAAATCAACAACCTATTTAAAATAAAGATAAAATATAAAATATATCAGCTATTTAGCTGAAAGAACAATCTATGAATGAATTAAAAAGGCGTATTGAATTATAAACGCCTTTATTAAACACTTTGTTTCACTAAAAATAGTAATATCTACCATAACATAAAACTTACACGAAATGTAAAACTATTTCGGGCTGCTTGACCATCAACAAGAATTTCTTCGTAATATTCATGATTAAAATCATTGTTATTATCCCATTGACGATAATAAATAATAAAATGATTAAATCTTTTATATTGATCGTTTGACATTCGCCAATGTAGAACAATACTTTGTGCTTGTAAATCGGTGTAAGATAATGTGGTCTTTGCTGTATCATCTACAGAGACATGAAAAATCAAATATTTCAAAAAAATTCCTCTTGTAAATCTTTGATGTTGAAAAAATACTGATAAATTTTAAATCTAGATTCATTAAGCATAAAATAGTTTTATCAACAACTGGCAGTAGAATATGTGCCTCTTCGATTGTGCAAAGTCTTATGACCCTACTAATATTACTGAAATAATAAATCTTACAACGAAAGATAGACATGCAAACACACCTGGAATAGTTACGGTGATAAATATTCGTACCAGTCCATGCTGATTTTTTGCTTGGCAAACATATTTGTTCAAACCATGCGATTCAGATTCTAACTCAAGTACAGCACGAGAGCGATTGCTTGCAATGTGAATAGAGTCTGAAACTAAATGGAACGGATTTTTTCCATAAATATGGTTAGATAAACTAATAAAAACCTCTTATCCACATAATTTGTGGCTCTGGATAACCTTCTCCAATACAAACCAATTTTTTTAGATTATTGTTGCTTTCATGCATTTCAAAATGTGAATTATTGTCTAAATTTCGTATTCTCGGCAATACCATGCGTTCTAAACTGTCAAACAATAAAAATAATCATGTCATTTTCACTCATTATCATTCCAAAACATGCAATTACAATTTGAACACAAAAATATACCTGTCACAATTAGAGAGCGTGTACTGGAAAAAGACATCCCAAGTTTATTTGATGCAATGCATACATAATCACCATCGTCTTCACTTTTGATCGGATGGATGTAAAGATAACCTAAAATGAAATAACTTGATTGATATATAATAACATAATTCAAATTCTAAGTGTATTTCCTCTAATTCCATTAGTGAACGGAAAATCTGATGTCCATCGATGAATTTGTGAATGGGTCATTCTTATGTGAATTTGATTTCTGCTGTATTCTCAAACATCTTAAATGTAATCTTAGAGATCCATAATCGATCTAGTATCGCAATCGCACTGGTACACGTATGCTTACTAAACCGATTTTTCATCAGTTTCGAAAAGTTTTATATCGGTCGATGTACCGGCAGACCGATGTTAGTACAATTTTCCATACTGGTTCCAACTCTAGATTGATTTTCATTTGCGAATTAATTTAGACTGTCGGTAGAAACGTCTAAGTAGCCTCTAACCTAGAAATGGCTGGTTACTTTTTCCTTTACCTTACTATATATAGTAAAATAACAAAAGTTTCTTATTTGTTACTTCTTACTTTATAAAAATAAAAAATTGATTACTATCTTGCTACTAAGAAGTATGCACTTTCTTACCTTCTTAGTAGTAACAAAGCAAGAGAACAAAATGGTAATTTTAGTAAAATTACATAATAAAATGAGAAAACTTTTTTAAATCTATCTTATTGTCATACATTTAGTCTTCTTTGACTTCTAGAAAGTTTTTTCACTTATAAAAAGTCAGTCTCTCTAAAAAAATGTCTGACATTTGTGTCTTACTCATGAGATAGTGAAATTAAGCTATTTAAAGAATCAGTTGTCCCTCTTTCACCAATTACTTTTTCAATTAATTCCGTCTCCAAACATAAAGATACAGAGAGAGTATACGACAGAAAGCTCTTACATAATAGATACATATGAGATTTGCATAGGTATTGTACTGAGCTAGTTCACACAATGTTTCGCTGGCGCAGTTTTACTTGGACGATTTTTCTAACGATTTTAAAACTGTCGAAGA